TTTTATTTTGCAAAGATCTGATATCTTTGATTGCTGCAATCCCTCCAAGCTGTATGGAAGATGAGGAACCCAACTGAGAATACTCTGGTCGCAGGGGTGTAGCTACTTCACAGAGGGAAGGGCATGAAAGTGCAGAAGAGCAAGGTCTGCTTGTAGAAATAAAATGTATTTCTGCAAAGAATTGAAATTAAAAATCACCAAAAAATGAAGAATACCTCCCCTTCCCTCCAAAAAAACAAACAAAACCCCCCAACAAGCCAGAAAACCCCAAGAATATGAGAGAAAATCAGATAACTTACACCAGCAATAGAATAGCAGTTAGATAAAGAATATCAAATCTTCTGTCTGCAGCACACCAATGGTGAAATCAATTAATTGATTGGAAAACCAATTTAAAATCAGCAATTTTTAAATATCAGCAGTTGTTAAATGTCAGCAAACTTTTCTGTGTCGTCTGTATAACACCTGTTCTAAAGGTAGTTTATTCTTTTGATGTGATAAGAAATTTTATCTGAGAGAGAATTGGGTTTTGTTTAGAACAAAGTGAAATATATATATAGATATATATTTAACTCTCCTTATTTGGCATACCTCCTCCAAAACTCTTCCAGATTTCCCATTTTCTCCTTTCCAATAAACCCATTTGCCACCCATGGGCAGAGTTTTATTTTTGGACCTTGCAAGGTTGCTCCAACACAAAGAAAAACCATCAGCACTTTACCAGAAGGATTAGCTAAAATAAGTTTATTGATGCATATCACACATGAAGTTATTATATCCAGTGGGTCTAAATTTGCCAAAAAAAAAAGCATGTTGCAGCATCCACAAGACTATCCCATGAATCAGCTTGGATCCCAGTGGTATATTTGTATCTGAAGATTTTTAATTGGAATTTAGAAGCATGTAAACTCATTTATCATAGCTGCTGCCTGCTCCCTGCTGGGGTCTGACATAGCCAGTGCAGGTTTCTCAATCAAACACCAATTTACATATTGATTTGATTTATGTTGAATGCTTGCCCAGGCTTCTTAACACACCCTTGGTTTTCTGCATGCTTTCCCCTTGTATCTTTAAATGGGTATTAGATTGGTAAATAATGTGTAGGCTGGCAGATTTTTTCTTCCTTGACTGAAGAATTGGTGGATAACCAATCCTTTCCTGACCTATGTTTTTCATAAATCTAGGAAAAAATCTAATATATCTGTTTGAGCCAGAAGAGTCAGGGTGTTGGAGAGGTTGCACTGTGCCTGCCCTGGAGTTTGGAAGGAAAAAGCTGTGACATGGATGTTGGGAAGCAGTTGCTGTAGGGGCTCATCAGATGCCAAAGGAAAACAAAGACTAAGCCATTAAAGTGCTGTAGAGATTTGTGAGAGGTGCACGCCTGCCACAGGCTGCCTCAAAACGTGTTGGTGCTCCTGGTAATCACACACAGTAAAAATCATTTCCAGAATTCCTGAAATTGTGTCTTTCAGTTTCAAATGAGAGGTGAGAACATCTCGATCACTTCTGGCTTTAAAGCTGGTGACCCACTGGAGTTTTTGAGACACTTTTAAGGGCTCTAATAAAGATAACTCTGAGTCACCTATTGGCTGAAGGTTGCTCTGCTTACATTTTTAGGCAGCCTACAAACTGGAGAAGGTTAAAAACATGGATTTTGGCAAGGCATTTCTAAGATCATGATGATAATTTATCATCAACATTTGACTTTTATTGCATAGTTCACTTTAGAGCCTGATAAAAGTTTAGAAAGGTAAAATCAGTGTTGGTCTAGACTCAATCTCCCCATGGATTCCATGGTGGGACCTCAGCTTTGCTAACATTTTATAAGAGTAATGGAGGAGAAACATAATAATGCTGCAATAATTAATTATGAGCATCTACTGACAGTTACTTTATACATCAACATTGACAAATCTATTAAAGAAAATGATTGGCAATATTTCTCTGAAGGGGAAATATGGCCTAGATACCTCATGCAAATGTCTCAGGAGCAGAGGTTTATACACTAGCCCTGTCCTTAAATGGTGCTGTGATTTAAAAATCTGGTTTTTGTGGCCCTTTTATGTCTACATTGAGGAATTTCACTAAAACTTACAGAAAGAACTAAAATCAGAAGTGTAATGAAACACACAGAGCTACTTTTCTTGCAGAGAACATTATGTTTTAACAGTCAAGAAGGTGATTAAATACTTGAATAGTAGTAGAAGAATCAATGCAATCACAAATGACCAAAAAAAAAATTCCTAGAGTACAATATACATATCTTTGAAAAAGTAAATCCTACATTTGGTCAGGGAGAGAGCATAATGAGGTGAATTACTCAGAAAAATCTACTAATGCAAATTCATAAGTCTCTGTTTGGCAGGCAGTTAATATCCTATGTTGGTTAATATCCTGTGTTGCATTTTACACACAATATAAGTTCTTTTTGACTTCTGAGTGCTACAGAATATCCTCTGTGAAATTATAGATTGTGATCTCTTAAAGCAGGGTGGATTTCCTGAGGTTCTAGAGCCAAATCTTTAAATAACTCAAATTAATTTGAAATGTACCTGTTAATCTTTTTATTTGGTGTACCTTTTCTGACAAATAATTTAGAAATCTGAAATGTTCAGCTTTCCATAATTAAAAAGCAGAATTTTTTTAACTAGTTGAAGAAATAAGACTATAATTTAAATAATTTATTGATTTACAGAAACTTGTGTTGATTCTAAGACAAAGTTGGGATCCAGTATGGCTGCTTTAGGCTGTAAAGTGGAATTTATACAGAATTTAGAAGCCTAAATGACTTCAATGCCTAAATGATAGAACTCAAATCAATGTGTTCTGATTTTGCAAGCCAGTCCAACCTCTAGACGATGGTGGAAGTCCTTCCATGTGGGCAGGAAAATCCTGCTCTACAGCTGGTACCATCTCTGCTCCTTAGTGGTTGATGTTGCATGCTCAGTGTTCATTGAAGAGCTTGGTAGTCTGAAAGGAATTACTTCCTACACACCTCATTCACCCTTCACAAAATACTGGCAGGGGATATAGAATAATGATGAAGAAAAGTAGCTTGCTGTTTTACCTTGTGCTTCATGTAAAATTATTCAGCAAATCTTTTATCCAGTGAATATGTAGGACAGATCTTTAGCTTGTCACAGGTCTAATCATGAATGGAAGGGATATCCTTCTATTCAAATAGATCTAATCAAACTAATTGATTCATTAAAAGCTCTGCCATTTCTTGTGTATCTTCCCCCATTTCATTTGTCTTCTAATTTTTCCTAACCACACTGGCAAAGAAAAAAAAGAAAAATAAAGTGTTTTGTTACACAAGAAGTTTCTGACATTCTTCTAACAATCTCTGAAACATTTCATTTTCCTCTAAGCCACTGAGATGCCCTGTTGCATTTTCTGTAAGCATAAAAGCAACGAGGATTTTGATGTCATAGTGGGGTGAAATTGGGGATGGCACCCAAATGTACTTTAATTGTCTTTCAAACACTTCCACTGTACTTGAAATTATAATAACTTTTATTAAGACATTATATAGGTTAATGCATTTCTCTTTGAAGGATCAGCCAACCCAAAATTAAGCAGATTCCCCACCAATCATAGAATCATAGAATCCTTTAGGTTGGAAGAGACCTCCAAGATCATCAAGTCCAACCCTCAAGCCAACACTACGAAGTACTCTCCCAAAACAGATCAGAATCTGTCAGGGCTGGAAGGGACCACAAGGATCCCCCAGTTCCAACCCCTCTGCCATGAGCAGGGACACCTCCCACTAGATCAGGCTGCCCAGAGCCTCACCCAGCCTGGCCTTAAAGACCCCCAGGGATGGGGCCTCAACCCCCTCCCTGGGCAACCCATTCCAGGGTCTCACCACTCTCCTGGGGAAGAACTTCTTCCTCACATCCAGCCTGAATCTGCCCACTGCCAGCTTTGCCCCATTCCCCCCAGTCCTGTCACTACCTGAGAGCCTAAAAAGTCCCTCCCCAGCTTTCCTGTAGGCCCCTTAAGATACTGGAAGGCCACAATAAGGTCACATCCATTTAGAAACAAAACCTTGCTGCTCCTGCAGGCTGCTGTTTTCTCTGTGTAAAGGAGTAAATAGTCTGGGAGTACAACAGTTTAAAGTCCAGGTTGTTAGAAATCTGGATACTCCTCACTGCAGGGAGTCTGAACAGTGTTCCAGAGGATTGTGTCCATGTACCCTCTGCTGACAGAGGGGGGTTTTGGCACCTGCTTCATACAAATTCAGTTCCGTGACTTTCAGCCACGAGACTGAAACAAGGCAACTCTAAATCACTGATTTGCTTTATTTTCAGTGTAAAGAGTGGGGAGTGAGTGCAGTGAGCTAAGCACATCATTTTAAACCCTCTTGGAGGGTTTTTTAAACCTCTCCTTGGAGGACAAGATTGCTTCACATTCTTAACAGGGTTGTTTGAGCTGTTTTCTTTCAGCTGTAGCACAAATGAGAGCAGCTTTCCCCCAGTGGATGTGTAGAACTTGAGTGCTTACCCACATGCATCTATTTATTTAATTGTAGATATTAGAATGGGAGCACTCACAGCCACTCCCCATCCCAAATGGCTAAACCAGGGCCCTCTGTCCCAGGATTTCTGTTCATCATCCTACTAGAACGTGTGGACAAGCTTATCCTGATCCATGGTGCCCTTTGCAAATAACAGCTGGAGAGCAGAAGGTGATTCCCTCCTCACACAGGGCTTGGCAGCCTAAAATACATCTCATGGATTCAAGGGAAGGTTGTTTTGCTGTAAGTCATTCTTCTGTAGACAGCATTAGGATGTCACTGAGCTCTTGACAGAGAAGATGTGAAAAGGGCACCTGAATCTGCCCTGCCTACAGGGTTACACCCAGGACAAGAGGCAGAGGATCCTGTGTGGAGCCTCACTGAACGTGCACATTGCAGTTGTACGCTGCTGGGAAAATGAACTTTATCCACCTATTATTGTCATTAATAATAATTATTATTATTTCCTTCTCACTAACAGGTTATTCACCAGCTCAGACTGTCCGAGAATGAGAGCGTGGCTCTGCAAGAACTTCTGGACTGGAGGAGGAAGCTGTGTGAAGAGAGAGAAGACTGGCAGCAAATCTTGCACAACACTGAGCAGAGGATCACAGCCCCACCTCCACCTCCTTGCAAAAAGCCAACGCTGCTGAAGAAGGTGGAGGAGACCTCCTGCAACAGGCTCTCCTCGGGGCTATGGGATACCAGCATGTGATCTCAGTGTTTGCAGACTGTTAGGAGCAAAACCATCTCATGACTTGATGCTGCACAATCAGCAGGTTTTCCTCCCCCTCACAAGGTGTGCAGGGATTTTTTTATAAGCACTCATTCAGAAGCACAGGATGGAGGAGCTGTTGAGAGCTGTCGTGTGTGTTTGCCCTTCATATAGACCCCCCCTATGCACAGATGTGTGCATCTGTGAGGATGGGTGTTGTCTGTATGGAGACAAGCTGCACCACAAGAACTCAAGTTGAAAAGTACAAGACAACCACTTGGATTTCTCCCCTGCACAATGAGGAGTGATGTGGAGCAGACTGATGGGGAGAAGTGCCTGACAGAGGTTTTGGGGAGGTCAGGAGGGTCTGTGTGCACACTGTACAGCTGTTTTGTATAGTACAGAAATACCACGTTTCTTGTTCCTTCATGAATGGTTTTATTCTATGACATGTATACATATATATATATTTCTCTGTAGATGTCTGTGTTCTGTTGGCGTTGCAAACCTGAGGATTATTGACATGTTTATTACTGGTGTTTTATAACTTTATGCAATTGGTGCTGTCGTTCTTTCTTCAAAATACAGGTAATAAACCCAGTACTCTCATTTTCCCTTCATAGCTCCTCTTTAACAACAGACCAAACAGTTTCAACGGTGTGTTGTTTTTATTCAGAACTGCCAATATCCTTCCTAAAATCCAACCCTAAAATTCTTGCCAAGCTCCTACGTCCAGATGTGATTTGATGCTCTTCACAGCCATGAAGTAGAGAGCATGACTGGGTTTTTATTTTTCCCAGCAGACCTGTGTTTCTGAGCGTGTGAACTGTGGATTCTGCAGGGACATCTCAAATATCATTTCATTCTGGGTTATCTACAATAATGAGCCCCTCCTTTAGATCATGAGTCTGGCTTGGAATTCATACCTGATGGTGCCTGAGGTCGGGTGTCAGTGGAAAGATACATAATGGTAATGAGGTATGAAAATAGGGCTGTGATTTACTGTTTCAAGCCAGAAGGCTTTATGGAGATGGGTCTATCAGAGGATTATGTCCTCACGGTGGTACAGTGATGCATTTATACCTCAAATTTCATGTAATGAGATGGTTTCAGAAATTGGAATATTCTAGCTGGCGAACACGAGCTCGGAGAGGTAACATTAATTTATGAGGAACATGCTGCTGGAGACTGAGCTACTGCTCAGCAGTCTTTGAAATGCTGCTTTGCCACTAAAAGGTGTAATTTATATGTACACACAGGTATTTTGTCAGGGGCTGCTTATTTTAAGCTCTCAGAGTATGTAAAGCCAGTGTGAAACACTTTTCTTGGCTGCTTGCCCCCTTCCTATTGGGATCCAGGAAAAAGTGCTTGTAATTTTGCAAGTGGATGTAAAACTAATATTTCCAAATGTAAGATAGGTTTTAAAAAAAAAGTGAGCTCACTCTTGGCTGGAGGTTGTTAGGAAATAAAAAAAACTCCTGCTTAGAGAAGTGGGTTTTTCCATCACCTCTGACAGAAGCTTCAAGCAGGCTGACTGGTGAGAAGCAGTCACATGCTGGTTGGGTTGGTTTTGCAGGGAAGCAGCAAAACTCAAATTGTTCCCACGAGTATCATCAAGCTGTAGGCAGAATTAAGCACTTGCTCTTGCTGGAGATTAAAAGAGACATTCTGAGTGGACAAGGAAGGGGAGATAGCAGGTGAGATTTGGAATTTTACCACTGTTTTCTTCACAGAAGTCCTCTCTAAGATTATCCATTTCTATTTCATGGAGAAGCAGGGACTTCAGAGTCTGAATCTTTCCTTCAGCAGATACACAGGGCCACAGATGATGACTTTACCCAGGAGGGGCAGCTAACCCTGGTGAGGTCCTGCAGAAAACAACCCTCACCTGCTAAGCAATTACATCAGAACCAGGCTTTGCCTGGAAGAATTGAGGTTTCTGGGTTTTTTCTCAGCTAATCAGGGACACACTCTGTGAGAGGGAAATGAAATGGCTCCAAAACTGGATGCAAGTGAGCTAATTAAACCTTGCAACTCCATTGCCTCCAGGCTGGGAGTTGTGATCCCTGTATGGCACAGCATCACTCCACAGAGCCAGAATGATGCCCACAGCCCTGAACACTGCACTGAGACCTGCAGACGTGCCCTCGGGCTTGCTGCTCCTCAGATGAGCCTGGCAAATAGTCCTCTGGCAAGCTCTGTCCTGTTGCTAACTCATCCCCTCTACCTCACTGGGCAACTGGTAGCCATCAATCCACAGCAGCGAGCTGCAAAAACTGACTGAGAGGCCAGATGGGGTCGTGCCAAGGGACCTCCTGCAGCACAGAGCTGGCTCTTGGTAAGGTGAGCTCGTGTTGTCTCCAGACAACCCTCTTGGGATGTGGGATTTCCCTGAGGGGAGAGAATACATTTGTCAAATGGGCTTGAGAATGGAGTTTAAAGTGGGATGTGGCTCCAATGCACACTGGTGTTTGCAATGCCTGCTGGAAGCTGTGTGAGCCCTGAGCAGCCTCAGCTGCAGGAGCCCAAATGAGGTCTAAGGAATCTTCTTGCTCCTCTTTCAGAGCCTGTATTGTGGACTGTTGACTGCTTTATGGCAGTAGGAACCAAGTGTGGAGAGTGGTGTGGAGCTTTCCTAGCAGTTTGATCAATACAGTGAGGCAGGAGAAGCCAGAAACCTGATTTCATTCCCCAGACTGTGAGCAAAGCAGATGATTCCCCTTGTGCAGAAAGCCTTTCTTCTGGTTTTTTTTTCAAACTTAACTAAGACATATATTTTTGGAGGCTCTTCCTTGAAGTGTGTTGTCACAGTGCACTAGGAGAAACTCCCCAGCAGAAGATGTGAGCCCTTTTTGGTTTTTAATTTAGTTATTCATTCCAACCTATGGCTTTTTCCTTAAGATTTTTTTTTTCCAGCTACTCCATTAAAATCCACTGATCTAGGAATAAAGCATTTGTGTTAAAACATGTTTTAAATATTTCTCTCAGGGCACTAAGACACTCCAGAGTGTTACTTATGATGTCATAATTCACACCTAACATATTCATTGGTCCCTTGGCCTTTGGCCTCGTGCCTAACAATGCAGTTGGTGGGGAGTTATTATACCATAATTCACACCCTACTGTGTCTTATTGCTTAAATAACCCGAACCCCAGAGGTGTCTTAAAGCTACCATTAAAGTTTATATTGTGTATCAAAATGTGTTTACAGGGCTGGGAAAATATACTATTGACATTTTGAAATGGTGAGGGGTAGTTTGAGCAGAACTGTACAGGGCTTGTAAATTAATCTCCCCAGTGGAGTGTGCACCAGCCATTAGTTTTTCTTGAGCCTATGAAATCCTCTCTTGCACATTAAAAAATAGCTTAGAATGGAAAGGAAAAAAAAAAAAGCCTTATGAATTTAATATTCTAAAGGGAAAGATTAAACTCTACGAGCATGCTAATGCCCTTAATGTCCAATGAGCAATCTAAAATGTATTTATCCTTGCAATAAAGCAGTTTCAGGAAGCAGGGGTTATCCTCAGATAATCACTCCTCCACAGTGTGCCTTATTGCTGCATTTTTAATATGGGAGACAAACAAAACTTCTGACAAATCCATCTGTCCTTCAGCAGAAGAAAAATCAGGTGTGTGCTACGCTGTCAAAGCCAAGGGAATTCTGAAACCATATTAAACCATAATAACAGAAAAGCAACAACTGTTGGCAGGAGGAATTTTTAAAGCTTGTAAACCTCACGTATTACTCTTGAAACAGCACTTGGTGTGTTTTAGTTGCTGTAGTTACTTTCCTACTGCAGATTCTAAGCAAAACTTTACTTTTAAAAACTGATTTAGACGTCCAGAGAAACACATGCACCAATATTTTACCAAAAAAAAACCCCAACCTGTGTACAGCATGAAGTGATGAGCCTTTTAAACGTTTGTATTGTTTACAAAACAATAGCCTGCTTGTTGGATGAGTGAATCACATTGGCCTATTTGCCAGTGATCCTTTTTGATCCAAGAGGTTGGCTTATTTTCGTGAATAACTTGATCATTCTGCAGATCCTTTGTGTGTGGGACAGAGAATTTCATTCACTTGTTAAGACAGAGTAATAGATTGTAGCCTAGTTCTAAAGTGGTAGTAATTAGCCTTATTCATTGTAGTTTTTAATTCTGCTCTGTGCTATTGACACCCCAATAATCCTGTTAACTCTTATCTCTAAAGCCTGCTAAGATCTGAAATGCTCTGAGGAACCTAAAAGAAGTTTTGCCATTCACTTGTTAAACAATAAATGTAACTAAACTCTGTATAAAGTCAGTTTTCCAGGGTGGTATTAAACATTTCATGGCTTTGTGTTCTAAACATCTAGTTTTTAAGAAGCAAACAGGACCTGAGCATCACCATTGGACAGTAGCTGAACAAAACAGGAGGGCAAGAAGGAAATGCTTCTCTTTCAGCTTTGCTGTTCTCTGTACACTCAGGTTTTTCATTTTGGGAGGAAATAAATAAATCCCAGTGCTGACTTCCACTGTGGCTGTGAGAATTAGCTCATTAGCAAAGACTGCCTGTCCTCCCAGCTCTGCTTGGGGCCTCTCCTCCATCTCGAGGACGTTTGCTGAATTTGGCCACGTCGTGGATTTTGCTGTGAAGTGGCTTAGGCAAAGATCTTGATGATCTTAATGATCTGAAAGGTCTCCTCCAACCTAAAGGGTTCTATGATTCAAGATTTTGTCAAGTCATGATTTGGCTTCTTGAGGCTTCTTGATTTATTACAGTAAACAAGAAAACCCATCTTGAACTAGCTAGAAGTACTCAACCATAAGTAGCTTGGTTTGGTTCTCATATGTCTGAATAAAATCTCCTCTTAGACCTTTCTAATTTTCTTTCCTGTGAACTTAGGTTAATTTTCAAGCAGGCTTTTGTAGGGAGGTCAGGATGGGATTGTTCTCCCAAGGAACAAGTGACAGGACAAGAAGAAACAGCCTCAAGTTGCACCACGAGGGGTTTAGGTTGG